CATGAAAAGTAGTATATACTCAACTACCTTATGGGTAATAGCCGTAACTATTTATAGCCTTTGTGATTTCCTATATAAAAGAGTCACCTCGCTAAGATTTTTAAAGTAGTAAAAATAATTTTTTTTTTTAGGACACACTCGTCTTTTTTTTCTGTAGCAGAAGATTTTTGTATTATTTTTCCACGTGAATGTGCGTTTCAAAACGCGAAGGTGACGTATTTATTTGTCAATTCGGTTAGTTTGACAAAAAATGGTTTCTTATTGCCAAAATTTACATTAACAAGAATTTCTTATCTTGTATTTGATCCGTAGTTCATTTTTCGAAGAGATATTCTAGAATCTAGAGTTTTATGAGTTCTATGTTTTGAATCTAATCAATGTTGCTTACTAAAGGTTGGTTAGAAAAAGGATAATGCAATGTCCTTTTTTACTACTAGAATATAAAGAAAGAAAATGGTCTCAAGCCTGATTTCTCTTTCAAGAATTAGATTATTGTCGTGAAATTCGATATGGAAAAAACCTTGTGAAAAGTGAACACATTTTGGGCTATGTTTCTTAAAACAATAAATTATTTATGAAATAATTGTGCAGTTAAATATCTAAAGCCGATCTCAAGTATATACACCCATGTGCGCACATTCGCACGTGTATGCGTGCGAGCTTAAATTAACCAAAACCCATCGTGCGGGGTTTTGTTTAATATTCCATAAGTTTGTAGCGAGCCTATTTTTAACATATTTCTTCTTTTTTTCAGTTTTGTCGTATGTATTTATTGCTTGTGTTGAACTTTTATGCAAACATAGCACACATTTGAAACAGATTAAATTAAACTTTAATCCCCAGTTTATCATAATCAATGCTTACCAGTCGTCTTATGTGAAGAACATTGTAGCAGCATTACCAATTGTTGATAAGATATATTTAATTCGAGAGATAATTAGTTCATCATGGACATATTGAATTTTCATCAAACAAGAGAACTTAAGAATGAAGTATGTAAACAATTAACAGCAATATATTTTATTGCCCGAGCAAATTAGAGTTTGTGTGTAAAGATGTTCTTTTTTCGTACGCACATGTTTGCAAAGTTGCTTTGATAAATTGTTAGAGACTTAGACTTGTATTTTGATAAGAATTCATTGTTGCTTTTGTACAATTATTAGATATGCCTGAGTGCCGTCATGTAAATTTGTAATCAAGTAAGCTTTACATAAGCTGTGTGCAGGTGTGGTTCACTGAAAACCAAAGAGTCTCCAGGGAGGGAAAACAAGATACGTCCTTTGTATAAGGTATCCTCTGTCTAAAAAAAAAAAAAAAAAAAAAAAAAGAAACAAAGAAACAAGAGAGAGAGATACTTTTCCGTCTTTTTCTTTTGGCAACGTCATCTAGCGGACATTATCAGAAGTATTTAATTTGGGAACCACGAATACAATGTTTTGCGGGTTCACATCTTAGCCTATTCTTCCAATATTCACTCCAACCTTTTTTCTTACTTTCAAAACCGACTCCCAAAGCCTAGATTCTTATCAGAGATAAGAATATATTTTCTGACCAATGAATGGCCGGTAAATATGTATAACAATTTTGGAGGGAAAAGTCCCCGATTCTTCTGAGCCTCCAACATCTCCATAAATTTGGAGAATCTTCACCTATTTGGCAGTGAGAATTCGACCACTGTCTATGAGGTGGGCGATAGAGAACACCAGTCAACCTCGGAACCAATTTCAAGAAAGAAGAACTAGCTACTAAGGGGCTGTCGAGAACGAACGTCGGCCCATTATTAAAGACCAGTTGAAAGCTGCTTCTTTTCATTCACCTACAAGACTTCTGTCGTCGACCTACGAACTCACTCACCTACAAAATTACTATATCTACCTACATTTTCCTACTCTACAAGAACTGTGAAGAAAAGTGTGAGTGTTTAAAGTTAAAGGACCTTTTCTTCTCCCTTTCTTTCTCTCCTAATTGTGTTTATCCCTTTACCCTTTTTTTGTACATGTATTGTAAATAAACACTTTCTTCTTCTATTGTTACACACCGAGCAGAAGTTTTAAGTCTATTTTTATTCATCCGCCTAAAAGAGTTTGTCTCCGATAATCTTGCTGTTTTTATTCGATTTGTATCGCAATTTTTTAACCTCAACTCTTTTCGGTCGCCATGTTGATTTTTATTCATGACTACTAGTACTGTGGGTATAATCTTCTTCCAAAGGTTATCTGGTTATCAAGTGCGTAGACATCATGTTACTCACTTACTCACTTTATATATATATATATATATATATATATATATATATATGTGTGTGTGTGTGTGTGTGTGTATGTATGTATGTATATGTATATGTATATATATATATGTGTGTATGTATATATATATATATATATATATAGAGAGAGAGAGAGAGAGAGATAGAGAGAGAGTGAAAAAATAGACTGCGTTAGCTTAAATGCAAAAAGTAAAATCAAAGGGAAATAACTCCTTATCTTTCTTAAAGGGAAATAACTCTCTTTTACTTCGACAAACGGGATATTTCATATGAAAAATTATTTTTTCAACGAAGAATGATATACAATATCTATAAAACACGCAATATCTATAAAACACACACTGACAGACACACACATATACATATGTGTGTGTGTGAGAGAGAGAGAGTGAGAGAGTGATAAAATAAAAAATAGGAGACGTATATCAATCTAACACGTCTCACTTTTATTAAAGCATGTTCAAAAAGACAGAAACAAGCACTTCCAATTTTGTTTGAGTCAGTTCTCATTGGTCAGTTATGTGTCACGTGCATTAAAACCGTCAATAATTATACGTATGTAAGTTTGTGAAAATTCTTATAGGCTATTTAAATTCAACAATTATAACGATTGAAACTTATATCGTAATTTCTGAGTTCAAATTCAGATCTGAGTCAACAAGTCATCTGAGCCTGTTCTTTGTCACTTTTACGATGCAGACATGCGTCAATTTTTTTATTAAAATCGACGCAATTCTTTAACACCGATGAATTTTGAATTTTCACGAAAGATAAATCGGAAAATAAATATCGCCTGTAACTGCAATATGACTGATTTGTGGGTCATTCCACCAAAAAGAACGTCGAAAGAAATTATTCATTTCAAGAAGACGAATCAGACTATCAGTTTTATAAAATGCCAAGATAAATAGAATCAAAGTACGAAATTAACGTGTTGCAGTTCGTTCTTTTAGCGTTCATGTGTCAAAACGCTTTTGTGAACGGTAAGTCAATACTATTTTTCTTTTCAGGAAGATTTCAATACATTTTCATTTAAATCTGGATTTTGTAGAAAATAACATCATTATTTATCTATATGCAGTGTTATCAGTGCAAATAAGTTATAATGTAACAACCCGTTCATGAAATATTGTGATATTTAAGAGGAAAACAGCATAAGTATTTCTTTTAATAATTGTTATTTTTAAAGATAAAATGGTGAGCAGATACAGTCTTTAAACCTTTCTGGCTTTAGAATTTGTTTTTAAATATATATACACTTAAAAATTAAAATTATAATGTCAGTATATTTTTCGTATACACTAATATTGATTTTCAAAATTGTTTGAAAAACTATTTCAATTAGAGATAAAAAAAAAAGAAGAAAAATTGAAAATAATCCTAATGTTATAACAATGACCGTCGATTTTATTTAACAAACAACATAATTATAAAAAGCAATGTTCAAAATTTTAAAATTATGTTTGTGCTTGTTGTATCTCACAAACAGTATAATGATAATATTGACTGTTATATGGTTTGTGCAAAAATAACTTCAGAGGTTGACTAAAATTTGAATAGGTATTTTTATATCTTCTAGCCAATACTTGAACAGAAATCTAAAATTTTGGCCCGAACATAAAGGCCACTGAATTAAAACTAAATGAGTATAAAGGAGAGATAACTCCAGATTCACCACAAGGTGATAATACAACATGGAAGACACTGCACTCAGCAAGTCAGATCTTGACCGATCAAGATGTATTATCTTCCGATATAGACTACTACTATTAACTGTGACTGTGATTGATTACTAACGCTGCTATAAATTTGTTTTTTACTTGCAGTACCCGTGAAAATTTCACGGTTCTTCTATTTAAATTTTCTGATAAACTCTAATGATTGAATAAGTTTCTCGCTGATTCCACCACTATAAAATACCCCTTGGAAATTCTCCTATTGCATCCTTAAATATTTCAGTTTATCAATTTTAACAAAATATTTCAATAACAATTATAAATATGAATGCAGGTCATTGTCTAAACAAGTAAGAGGGATTCAAAACTGATAAGGTTTTCCGTTTCACTGAAGCAACCGTTAAATAATTCCATTATCTTCCCTTTCTTTTTCTTTTTTTTTTTTTTATAATTATAATGCGTGCTTTCTTTTTCTTATTGAAACCAAACAGCTTACCTGATATATCTTTTTCATAAGTCTTTCTTCGCAACCAAAACAGAATGGTCTATTATTTATCTGAACTAATAGAGGGGTATACTAACTTACTAACTTATTAACAAATTGAGGAACAAGAAGAATTATGAATAATTACCTTTTGCAAAAAGCAAAATTAGCTCAAAAGTTTTTTTATACGTTGAGATATGATTGTGTTTGACCGGTTGGCAAAAGCTTAATATTTCATGCAGACTGCAACTATCGAACTTAATTCCACAGGAAACAGTGAAATTATTCCATTCTTTTATATTTTCTTCTCTAGTTTATATATTCTGACCAATACTTTTGTTTCAGATTCGAGAGGGTGACGAATCTATCAAGGAAAACTTTCAAATCGAGAGAAAAAAAACAATGAAATATTTTAAACCTAAAAGTTGATGCAGTTTTAAGCACTACAATGAGGCATATGGCCGTTTTGTAAACAGACTCTAAAATGAATTTATCTACATAATAAGGAAGAGTGTTTAAAATGCAACAACACTTTGCAGAAAACTGTGATAATATACCAGTTACACTGAATGATATGAATTTATCGGCACTGGAAACAAAGGAAGCTTTCTTTTGGTCCAAACAAAAACTCAATCAACCAAGCCTATATTCAGGCAGAAACTTTAAGAGTCAACTGAACACATATCTCTGTTCCATCTTTCCAAATCGTACGCCTGACATTCAAAAATCAAAAAAGAAAGAATACAAATCTGGTGCTGGATTTTCTTGTGATAACAGCTATCAAATATCTGATAGTTCGCTCAAGAAGCACCTGGATGCGTCCCCTGAAATGGAAAAGGCCGTAGAGTGTCTGAAACGCACTTTCTTTTCAAATAACAGCGCTCAAAACAAGAGCAGCAATGCTAAAAGTCATTTGCTTTTGCCTAACGACAAGGATAACACAAGACGTGACACTTTGATTGACAACTTCTTTGCTGAAAGAACGAAAAAATCGGAGCAATTAACATTTGATGAATCTGATAATGGTGACAGCGAGTCTGTCAAAACCGCGTATATTGATTCATGGCTTAATCACACGACTCTAGAGTTTGATACAAAATCGGAAGGAACATTTACGTCTGAATCAGAAATAAGTCATTGCAAGTTACAAGAAACCACCAGTACTTTGGTAAGTTTAATTGCTGAATTAAATTTGGTATATAATCTTATTTACATTCGAATTATTGTCCTCATCTTTGTCACAACGTTTCGGCTGTCGTGCTATACGGCTTTTTCAAATATCTGTCAATCCGTATAACCTTCAGGGAATTTCGAACTGCACTCTTTATTTAATCTACGGGATTGAATTGTTTTTATTCCGCTGTCCATGTCTAGGGCTATTTCCTCTATTAAGTAGTCCTTAGTTATGTCTCACCATTTCCGTTCAATGTAAGCCTGTACTACGCAACCCGAGAATTTAACTCAATTACGGAGGAGTAATGGATAGCGACTCGGATTGAGAAATCGGAGAGCCGAGTTCGAATGCCAGTCAAATCTATTACATTCACTTACGTTTGGGAAAGGTATGAATCCTCTACTTCCCCCTCCCAGCTATGGGTAAATAGTAGGACGGGTTCTATAGCCTTAGATAGCAACTGGTCTACCGCAGAAAGAAATGGCAAAAAAATCTGCCTCAAAAGATACATGATCGCCTAAGCGTGTATTACGCATGGCACATTAGAAAACCATAACATTAAATTCACAAACCAATGATTTAATCACCTTGGTTATTGTCCTGTTGATTAAATAACTCATTCCTTCATTTTCTAAGAGGACGAGAATGAACCTCTCTCTCTCTCTCTCTCTCTCTCACACACACACACACACACACACACACACACACACAAACAACACAACACAACACGTTGAAACACCGGTTCCCGTATGATCACCGAAGTTAAGCAACGTCGAGCCTGGTCATAACTTGATGGGTGACCATTTGGGAATACCAGGTGCTGTAAACTTGAATGTGCAGGTAGGGTAATGGATAATGGCTCGGAATTGTTATTCAGAAAGCAAAGTTTCAACTCCTGTTGGGTTCGTTATATTCACGAATCTCACTCATGCAGATTTTAATTTCCGCTAAATTCCACATAAGAAATACCTGCTGGGTAAACATTAGCATATGTAAAGTAACCCCACCTCTCTCTCTCTCTCTACCGACATGCATCTGAATTGTGTATAGTTTCGCCACGACGCATTAACTCTAAAAGACTTTCTGAATCTGTGTTTTCTCTTCTCTTCTTTACATGTTCCCCTATCTTTTATCTATACTCTTGTTTTTTTGGAGGTTTTTTTTTGTCTCGTACTTCTCATTTTCTTCTATAAATCTTCACCGCCATCCCTTGTGCCAACGTCTTCTATTCTTTGTTGTTCTCTTTTCTTCTTTGTCTCTTCGCTTTTATTCTATATCTATTGTTATTTTTCTCTCATCTCGTCTGTCTCTTCCCTCTTCCCCCACTTCTCTTTTTTTCAGTACTGTTTTTCATTCTTTTGATTAACTTGCCAGTCTCTTTTTATCATTGCTTTTTTTTATCTTGTCTTTTAAATTTAACAATATATATATATATATATGTGTGTGTGTGTGTGTGTGTGTGTGTGTGTGTGTGTGTGTGTGTGTGTGTGTAAGCAAATATATGGATATAGATCCGACAGTATGAAGAAAAATATACGGAAAAACAAACAAAAATCCTAATATGCAATTATGCTGTTTTAATGTTAATATAATGTCAACGTCGGACGTTTGTGTCCATCGTCTTTTTCATGTTGAATTGAATATAGTCTAATGTTAATTATGTTTTATGAATATGTCCTGAAGATGGTCTATTAGACCGAAACGTCCGACGTTGACATTATATTAACATTAAAACAGCATAATTGCATATTAGGATTTTTGTTTGTTTTTTCCGTATATTATTCTTCATATATATATATATATATATATATATATATATATATATATATATATATATTCTTTTTTAATTAATGTTATATATTAAAAGAATGCTTTTTTTTTTTTTTAATTTGGTTTTGTTCAAACTAATCTCCTTTTTTGTGGGGGTGCTTTATTTTCTTTTTGTATTTTCACAACATTTCGACCCTGTACCGACCATCTTTCGGGCACCTCGAGGTGGTGTAATGGTTAGCAAACTTGTCTCGCTAGAACACTTACGACTGAGTAGTGAGTTCGATCCTCACTGGGTGTCCTCTATATTAGGTCTTGTGCCACATCTAAGCTACACTTGGAAAATCACTGTACCAACCTTCCTTGAGTGCCTGCTGTGTTCTAGGATGTTGTCGTCGCTTGTTTTGAGAAAGCCAGTACAATACACGTCACATCCGATTTCTTGCGTCAAATTTTAACAACATTCCAGTATTCAACTGTTATCTGAGGAATATCGGTCAGATGGATGGGGGTACATGACAGCAACATTCTGAAAAAAAAACAAGAGCACATACCATGATGAAAACACCCCGTCTAACAACATTGAGACAAAAAAGTTATCGGTTTTGCGCACAAAATGTTGAGTTTCTCTGTAACTATGGATACAGACAGACGTTTGGGTGTAACTGCCCCCACACCCCGTGAGAAAATATGCCACTTGTTTAGACAATGACCTGCATTCATATTTGTTATAGTGGAACACTCCTATTCTATAGTTAATAGACTCTCCCACCTATAATAAGTAGGAGTAGTAAGAGTAACGCTGGAGGGCTCAGTGAGTTGGTCAGTCAGTCGATGTCGGACGACCGTTAGTCGGATACTAAAAGTGTCAGCGACCACCACTAGATTTCTCTGTGTCATTACCTATGATATCAAGTTCCTAACGTTTTGTACGTCGAACCTATTTTAGGACCGACTTAGTACAAATACAAGCCTCCACTGTGAAACTACTCTACAACAATATTTATAATTGTTATTGAAATATTTTGTTAAAATTGATAAACTGAAATATTTAATGATACAATAGAAGAATTTCCAAGGGGTATTTTATAGTGGTGGAATTAGCGAGAAACCTATTCAATTAATGTACATTCCCAAACGTGTACGTATAGGTAGAAGCAAAAATTACGAAGTCCTTCGTGGCTAATGTCGCAAATGAACCAGTGCGACACATGATATTTCATTTAGTGCAACAGTGAGGTACTACCTTCGAATTGGAAAGATTGATTGATTTGTTTTCTACGACCAGTCAACATTTTGCAAGTTATTTAAAGCCATAAAATATTTTTAGATTGTAAGAATTTTATTTGAGGTGGGAGAGATAATAATGGTTTTAGTAATGCAAGTCTTACTAATTAACCAATAGCTGAGGAAAGAAGAGGTGGATTCATACCTTCCCCAAGCGTATTGGCGCGTAAGTGAATATAATGAACCCAACAAGAATTTGAACTCGGATCTCCGATTAACAATTCCGAACTATTATTCATTACATCATCCGCGCATCCATACTTACAGCACCTGGTATTCCCAAACATTGCTAATCTAATTGTGTGCCTTGTTTTGCCTGAAAACAAAAAAAGGCTGATCCTGGCTCCGATGATGTGGTGTTAATCAGGCGGATATTAACGGAATTAAAGTTTTTTTCTCTCCTTTGATGCAACCGAATGTGCATTTAATTTTTTTGTAAATTTCTATTATGCGTATAATTTTTATTTTATTTTTATTTTTTGTATAGTTATTATGTTGGTTTTTTATTCCAGGAAAATAATATGACTGTCATGTTAATGGATCCAGAGAATTCCGTCGAATTAAAATGCACCAAGCTAAAAGCACATTTGCTAAAAGAACGAGTTCTCACCTGTCAGTTAATTACACAAAAGACAATCTCCGATCTTCGAGCAAAGGTAATGTATTTCGTATTTAAACCCATTCTTCTCTTTTTATTTTATTTATTTATTGTTTTAGATGAGTTTTTTTTTTTTTTCATGGGATTCAAGCGAACAGCTTAACCCATTGATTCCTACCGTAAAATCCAGCAATTATTTTAACAATTACAATAAAAATCTGGTATTAATTATGGGTTTCTAATTCCCGACGTCTCATTTTTGGGAAGATGAGCATGAGTGGTTTGGTTTGGTTTGATTTTGTTTAACGGCATGTCAACCCTGCTGGGTCATTTTATACCAACCAGGTGGATACATATAGCGCATACAGGGATCTACAAAAGTAGATAAACATTAAAGCATTATACCAGTATTATAATAGTTTTGTCTGTGTTTGTGTGTGTGCGCGCGCGCGCGCACACGCTTTGTTTTCCGTTACTGTATACCTACATTTGCATACACATATACATATATACTTTTCTTTTTACCCTTTTTCTAATAGCTGGAGAGGCTCAGTTGGGTAGCTTCAATTCATTTTAAATAGATTGTTTAATCTGTCAATTTGAATCCGTTTAAAGCCGTCCTTATATATCCATACGTAAACAGTTTTAAAGGGATTTAATAATTCCAATTTATTTTAGAAATTCTAATTATGTTTTTATATTTGTGGCATTGTAGTATTTACTAGGTATATGCTTATCAGAATGTGCTTAACTGTCAATCTATGATTGCAATGGTTGCATCGAGGTACATACTCAGCTCTTAGCAGGTGTACATGAATTAGTCTTTTATATCCAATACGAACTCGAGTTTACACAGTGTCCTCTCTTCCCCCTTTTATTATTTTTGTGTTTTCCTCTCTGACGCTTTGTCGGTAAATTTTGTTTACTAGGAATGTGTCCCATTTGCCATTTGCTTTTAATAAAGTCGTTTATTTTCTTTTTAAAATCTGTATACGGAATTTTTATATCAGTTATTTCCATATTACAGGATATTTTTTTGTTTTTTTCATCTACTTTCTCATTGCCCGTTATACCAACATGGCTTGGTATCCATGCTAAAACAATAGGTTTTTGTAATTTCACCAGGTTGTTCTAAGTCTCCAGCATGTTAGTTGTTTTTCCTTTTAAGGCAACTAGAGAGGATAGGTAGTCCGTAAATATCACAAACTACTGATCTACCGATCTCCTTATAGATAATCCTCATGATAATCCCCTTTATAAGGTCATCCTCATCGCCTACAGTTCCGCTGTAAAGACTGGAGTATCATCAGGCAATCTCATGTACTTTTTGTTACAACCATCTGTGGCAGCAGTTTCCGTTTTATGAGAATCAATGAGTTAATACCCAGACTAATGTAATGCATAAGTAAAACACAATTCTCAAAACAGATTAACACATTTCAGCGCATATAATAGCTCTTGATATCTCAAAAAACGTATTTCTTTCAAAAAACGTATTTTTAGACTGGAATGTTAACTCATATAGGGACAGGCCACAAGCAATAAGATGAACGGGCTGAGAGATAAACAGATAAATTCAAAATTATTTTTTAATACTATATTCTTTCAGGAATTAAGCTATCATGGTTCGATACACCTTCTTCTACTTCTAAAATATGTGTAAATTGCCATGTCTTCTTGGAAAAATAACAGTGGTTTACGTTGCTTTATCCACGACTTTGAATTCAAGATAGTCCTTCACCTAAACTGGCTGTCATCCAAGGCTAGAAAACCCAATCTACTCTGCAATTCAACCTATAACTCGAGTGGGAAGACAACAGAGGGATTCATATTTTCCCCAATGCTATCAGGGAAAAAATAAATACATACCAGGCCGAAATTTGAACTCGGTTCACCAATTCCACTTTTCGCGCTTATAATTATGACGCTATCCACACAGCTTTCACATTAATATTAATCTGATTAATCTGAGTGCAATTTCATTGGGGAGGGGGAATCTTTTGTAAAACATTTTTCACTCGCCCAACTCCAAGGAGATCTTGCAACCTATCAGTCCAGAAGCACCTCCACATATTGAGGTCTTCTGTTAGTATAGGTAGCAAGATATTATCCATCGCTGGCTCGCTACGCCTGTCGCGTAGCTTACGGCACATATCATTCCCCAGTGGTCACCCATCTGAGTATTGACTATGCTCAACATTGCATAATTTCGGTGATCGAACCAGAACCGGTCTTTCGATGTGATATGGCCATAACGGCCAAAATGGAAAACATAATTAAAAAAAAAAAAAAAAAAACAGAATAATAAAGTCCTTTATTATTGTGATTTATCTAGCATTGGTTAAATACAATAACATTTCGTAACACTGATATATAATCATGCAGGCTTGCTCTATATAATAAAGAGTTGGGTGAACAAGTTTCTAGGTCGAATATCCGACGTAGGAAAAATGAAATCCATTAATATTAGACAAAGAAAAAAGCTTCCACTTCACACAAAGCAATAAAGCCTTCCCTCTATAATTCAGGCTTATACGTGTAAAGTCATTTTCTAGATAAATATTGCTATAGTTCTCCTCTTTTATATACATGTTCTTTCGGGACTTAGGTAATTCTTGCCTGTTACTGCCCCAATAATGGATAGCGGCTCGGATTGTGGAATCGTAGAGCCAAGTTCGAATTCCAGTCGAATCCATTACATTCACTTACGTGCTAATACCCTTGAGAAAGGTATGAAACCTCTTCTTCTCCCCCCTCCCAGCTATGGGTAAATAGCAGAACAGACCGGCTTCTATAGCTTTTGATGGCAACTGGTCTACCACAGAAAGAAATGACAACCTACTGCGTGAAAAAAAATTCTGCCTCGTCAGTCATGTATCGAAAGATACATGATCACCTAAGCGTGTATCAAGCATGACACATAACTAACTGACTGACTGCTCCAAACAATTCTTGCCTCTTTAGCGCTTTTCATTGTCTTTGTAGCATTTCTTTTGCCATCCATTTACTCAAACTTATCAAAAGAATTGATTACTATCCCCCGCTTCTCTTGCCTACAACCAATAAAAACTGTCCGAGTTTTCGGCTTCATAAATCTTATTAAATTCTGTACATAGATGTTGCTCAAAATATTTCACAACTAATGAATTTAACCTCTTGAATTTCAGAATTTATGGTCGTAATTTGAAATCAAGGTTTTCTTTCTTAATGAACATTTCGTCTCCCTACTTTCCACACTACAAATAACGAAAAAAATAACAAAAGGTTTGGAAGAAAATCTACACCAATGCTAGAAAGAACGATGACAGTTCGTGCAACTGAAAAGTCTAATTTCCTGAAAAATCAGTTTTAAGAAAAAAGATTTTTATAAATTTCAACCGACAGTAAGACTAACTGTTCGGTTAATGAATGCTGAATCTCTATCTCGCCATTACCATTAATTTTTTTTTTTTTTTGACTGTCATTCAAGCATCATTTTTACAAATACTTAAATATGACATTATTTATAAACATAGATTTATTGATTTTATTTAAATGATTGTTTGCAGTTGACTGAACAGATTATAGAATCCGAACAAGAATGGAAAAATAAACTCTCCTTGGATATAGAAGCGACCCAAACCAATATGGAAAAGATGTCTTCTATGCTTGTCACAGCCACTGACAAAGCCAAAAAAGAAGTGAAAAAGAACGATGAACTGACGGTAGTTGCTGTTTTTATTCAATAATTTATAACAAAAACAATTTATTTAATAACAAAATCAGTATATTTAATAACAAAAACAAAACAAAAAAAAGGTTATGAGTTGTGATAGTCTTGTAAATAATTACCTCGTTTTCTGATATAACAACATCAATAATGTTAATTATTGTGGGGATTTTGTCCCCAAGAAGAAGGAATTAAGAGAAAAACTAAGAAAAAGAGACGAAACACATGACAGCAAGTACGATGAATCAATTATATTTAAACACAAATACAAGTAGATTTGCAAATCAATTACGATTTGAGGGCTTGGTCATATCTTGGTTTATCTTGAAATATGAGACCTCTTACCTGGATTGCTTTCCTTGTCTTCGGAATAACGGACTGCGTAGAGTTGTTTTCATGTTGACTAGTCGAATTAAAGTAGATGTCTTTTCAATCCCCAACCGAGGAGCGAATGTCTGAAAGGTCCCAAAAATCATTGACTTCGTACCAACTTGAGGGTGGTTTTTGATTGGTTTAGGTTACATTGCCTAAACTAATCAATGTTCGTTTTATAACAGTTTGTTACGATGTAATTTTCTTGCATTATTATTATGATTATTATAAGCATTTCCGGTCTCACTAGGAAATGCTGCGATCAAGACAGGTCCAGTGGGCAGTTTAAATAAATGAGTTGTTAAATTTACCACGTGTCGTATCGTCTTTGTGTTGCTTCGACTTTCCAGAAGCCAGTCTCGATAATATATCTTTCCACGCCAAGCTCAGTGGAACATGGTGTCAGAAGTGGGATAGAATTGGTGATTGATTTAGTAATTCCTTTTTTAAAAGAATTCTTTTGTAGGTAATCCCATATGCTTTTCAATAATTTATTTAATAACCAAAAGAATTTATTTACTAATTGTAACAGTAAGATTTCTCACATATCCTTGAAAAATAATTAGATAAATTCCTTTTCCTTTTAAATCAACTTGATTGCCAGGTTTCCTAGAAATTTCGTCTCCTGTCCATCTTTGCGTCGAGTTAATTGCCAGAGTTTCCAAGATTCCTGTCTCCAGTCCACCTTTGACTAGGCAAACATAAAATTTTGTTAATGATTTTAGATAATCATAAAAGTAGAGTCTTTTGAAAAAAATTACCACCCATCCAGCTTTTGGGTGGTCTGCTTTCCCGGAATACAAGTGGGTGGATAAGGGGGTGGAATCCCAGCCAGTATCCATATAAGCAGTGAGGGCCAGGAAGTCAGCAGTAAGTAGGTGACCAGCAGTCAGGAAAGAACCAGCAAGCAGTGAGAACCCAGCAGTCGCCTAAATGGTCATGGAATGTAAGGGTCCTCTTTCCGTGGCCGAAAGGTTGAGAGATAGCATTTCACCGTCGAAGCCGGAGGAAAACATGGCGTTTCAGTGAGAATTCATATTGTTGCTATTTCCTAACCAGAGAGTCTTTAAAAGCATTTATCGTTATTTTTTGTTGAATTCGATCACGGCCAAGGAGGAAAACCTATGAACATAGCGAATCGGATGTATATGCAGACACAGCCGTACTTAGATGACACCGCAGGTTGTGCAGTGACGACGAGCGGAGTATCTCGTCACATAACAAAAAGTTATGAAAAACGAGACAAAAAAGGTTATGAGTTATGATAGTCTTGTAAATCTCATTTTCTATTGCCTATTGGTTATAACAGGGCGAAAGTGACAGTCCACTTGTTGAAGTATGTGAATTCCACGATAAAGTTTGAGGTGTCCAGTGAATTAAATGATGTAAGATCCTATTTTGGGATGTGGTATCAGGAGAAAACAAAAGGAAATGTTATCGATTAAATCTCATTGGGAATTGGAATAAATTGTCGAAAACAATAATTAAAAATATTAATTAGTTGCAATAAATAAAACCAACCGAAAATAAATGGAAGGCCACGGAGATATTTGAACTCGTAGATAGACGCATTAAATTGTTTCGAGCTAAGTAAATCCCCAATATCGCCCGCCCACTCTTACTTTAGCCAATGTAGGTTAGCGATACGGATAAGTCATAATAGTTTCAACCTTGTCACTAGATTTTAGAGGGTGGCCAAAAAGTATTATTATTTTAAATACTATTCATCCAAAATCCTCACTTCCTCATGAGAAAACTTCGTCATAATTTTTTTACGACTTTTTACAAACAAATGGCTGTGGAAACGTCATCATCTGGTTTTCAAACAATGGATGTATTCGATTGAATCCGGATGCTTCTCAATATAAATAAACGAAGAAGTAACTGGCAAGTAGTTTTTGACTGAGCGCTTCAGATTGGAAATATATTGTAACCACCATCCATAGTCACGTGATCATTTTTTAATGAACAGAGGGGATTGTAAGTGATGCAGGTATTATCCTTTACTTAGCTAAAGCTTTTAAAGGTAATTCCCTAAACTGCAAAAAGAGACATATGGTCATGCTGACTGGAAGTAACAAGTCTCCTACTCCCATTAATTCTTGTAGTCATGAAAAGAAGATTTGGAGAGAAAGAGAAAGTCAAATCATGCGATACGGGATACAAGACCGAACCATTCAGTTTGAGTTACACAGAAAACAATTTATAACAAACAAATAATAAGAAATAAATGTGAAAGTGTAGTTTGTGTATAAACGTAAATGTACAATTGTAGGAGTCTTTTTTCAGGACTATGAAACAACGTATAGCACCTCGCAAATTCGGTTCTAGATATTATTGGCGGCTCTGCAAGAGTGTACTGAACAGCAACAAATCCTCATTCTCAACTCTACTTAGCAGATAAGGTTGAATTCATTGCTCGGAAATTCTTTTCCAACTCAACACTCGACCCATTTGGAGTACCCATACCTGATTTCCCCAATAGAACAAAGGCTCTACTGAGTGAAATGCGCATAACCCCGTCAATGACATCATTTCAAATTAGACTCCCATAAGGCAAGTGGAGGTGACGGGATCCCAGCCATCGTCCTAAAGAAATGTGCTCCCGAGCTGATTTCAGTCAGTGGTTAACTGGGGCAGGAAATGGCTCGTAAATTTTAATGCCTCCAGAACGAAACTTCTCTCATTTAACCACCATAGAGAAACTTCCCTGTCCGCCATCAGCATGGTTGCTGCTAGAATCATGGAAAACATCACACTGCGGTTTCTTGGACACACGTTTTCAATTGACTTGAAGTGGAACGACTACATCAGATTAATAGTTGTATCTACTGCAAGGAAAGTTGCATACCAGAAGGTCTTTTTCTCGTCAAAGTCCACCTTGCACATTTCCAAATCTACTATTCGTCTGTGCATTGAATACTGTTGCCATATCTGGTCTGGTGCCCCTGCTATTCATCTCGAGGTTCTTAACAAAATCCAAAAAAGGATCTGAAAGGTAATCGATCCTGACTTGGCATCTCGACTTCAATCACTTTCTCACCGACGTAACGTGGCTTCCCTCTGTCTTTTCTATAAATATTTTCATGGTAACTGCTCTAACGAACTTTTTTCCTGGTGCCCGGACTACGTAAGTCTAAGTGTTCAACTGTTGAATTAGTTAAATGTAACCG